ACAAGTTTTTCAATCTCAAAGATAACAATAGACTCAAATGATATGGTTTCTTGTTTTAAAAGGACATATACTATGAAAAATGAAGACATGTAAAATATTTACTATTTACTGAATTACAACTACTCCGTATTATAAAAAACGCCCTCCGTCTTTACTCTAAGGCTATGTTAGTTCTTTTCTGTTGGGATTCTAAAGTTTGATGTTGGGAGAAACTAGGAGTCTGAAAAACTAGAAGTTGGAAAATGTTTGGTAAATAATCACCCAAAACAATATGTAAAAAACTAATTTTGGATATAAAAAAGAATTCATTTTAGTCTGTGTTTTAGATGTTATGTTATAAATTTAGGTATATAATGTCATTGTATAGTCACCATAAGTATATACATTTTTAAGTCGGAAAAAATGAGTTGTGAAAAACTATAAGGAGTTGAAATCAACTAGAAGGAGTTGGAAGAGAAAATAGGACTTGGATAAAGTTAGATTTTAATTTTCTAACCGAGAAGAACATGGCCTAAAATGTGAGTACGCTCTCTATTTTTCTTTCTAATTTTTTATTCTTTCCATAGGTATACATTTATCTATTCAATACTAATCACCTATTCTATCAATGTTCTCTTGCTCAAAAAGTGAACAAGAATATATTTGATTTAGTAAATATTGGACTGAGTGTTATGAAGATTAACCCAAGAAGAAAGCGATTAGCTGTTATGGCTGCATGGCCTATGTTGAGGAAATTAATAAAAACTTGGACGAATCGAGAGTCGTGTAAAACACTATCAGATTGAATATTTTGGTTGTTCACTCTAAAATTCAATCGGATAAAACTCGAAAGTATCAAGAACGAAATATGAGAATTGCTATCAAAATCCGAACGAAATTCGACCATGCCTAGCGGGAATTTATAGACTTGGGTGAGAAGAAGAAGACACCATTCGCATCTATTCATCCAAGGCTCGCAACTCTTCGGCTCTGCCCCTTGGACCCCGCAGGGGCTGCCGCCCCTTGAACCCTGCTCGGGGGCGCTACCCCGTGTTGGAATTTTTGGCATTTTTAATAGGCATTAAATGGACCAACTTGGGTATATTTGTCAATAGGTCCACTAACGGTTTTAACCGTTAATTAATGGACGTGTGTTCTCTTAAATGAGATAAATGTTTTGATAATTTATACGCCAAAAATGGTAGAGGGTGAATGAGAAATTGATTCTCAGAGTTAACCCGGTAATAGAAGAATATGGTAAGGATTGCGATTTTGCAATTTTACTGAACCAATCTTCTATTATTAATTTTACGTATTGTTTAAAATTAGTCCTTTCTTACGGAGTTAACTGGCCATTAATCTCCAATTATTCGGGACAAATTTTAAACAGAGCGTAGCGTAACGGACGTGTTAATGGCTAATTAATCACCATTAGAATGGTATTAAGTATGCCACAAATGCCATGATTTAATACTAAGACTTAATGTGTATATGTTACATTTTTTAAGTTGCTTAGTTATAAAATCAAGGGGGGCTCTCTATACTTGGTGCATTGTGTGCCTTGCGTGAGGAAGGGGAAAAAAACACTTTATTATTTCTTTTAGAGAGAACTCTTGATTTTCCGGCCAACTTTCCGGCAATTCCTTTCAAAGTTTTTTTTGGTCGCCAACGTTCCTACGTTGTTCTTGTTCGTTGGTGTGTGGTTGATCCGTACAATCTCCACACACGAAAGCAGTTTTATCCTGGGAGGAGAGTGCCCACGTTTTTCCGGTACGGTAGGCGGGCACTACTACCTTAAGTAGGTTTAGTTCATAAAGACCTCGATGCATTTTGCCCTAGAACATAATGACCTTGCTGTCTAGTGCGTAATGTCCTCGCTGTCCAGTGTATAATGTCCTCATACAACAAGGCTGTTTGAAGTTGAAATTTATTTTCAATTCTGTTTATCTTGTAATATTCTGAATAAGTTATAAATTCAGAATTTTATTTATTTTTATATTCCAGGTCCGTTCGTCTTCCCCGTCCGTTGTAATCCGTACAAAAATTGTAACACCTCGAACCCCCGCCAAGGGGGCGCTTCCCCCTTGGAACCCCCGATGTAACGGGATTTTTATCGTAACAAACTCAATGAAGCGTGCACTCCGCACCACCAAGGTTCGTTGATGATTATTAGGATACCATTGATCGTAGTTTTTCCAATTACACTAAAATATATAACAAACAGCAGAATTGAAATTATATATTATTATTATTATAGTGTCTCTAATTTCAGTTACATAGTTTGAGTTTCGTGTACCAAACTAAGCTTTATTGTAAACGCCAACCTATTCATGCTACTTACTAAAATCGTGATTTCAACTCAACTCATGTTTCATTCGGTCAATCAAATCTGTAATTATTATGAAGTGAAATATCAAAATTTAAAACCAAACTTTTTTCTTATTTTTGACCATGCAACCATATGGCCGGAAACATCATATTTGATTGCTGTTGTTCATGAAAATCCTGAGCCTACGTCTCAGTTCTTATATATATATACTCCGTATTTGTTAACTATATTATGTTTACGCTCTCGCCTCTACTATATGCATGATAGTTTGATAGGTTAGCTTTTTTACATGTGAATGGTGAACTCATTTCATAAACTTATTTGATATTTCAATATCACTTAATAGATAGAGTAATATTTGAAAGTGGATAAGTGGATAACCAAATAAAAAGGAAGAGTATATACTGATAAAATTTATTTAAATGAGATACGGGTAAATCATAAATGGTTGATAATGGCTGTGTTTGGAAAACGATTTTTCGGATATATAGTTTTTGCCATCTTTGACTGACTTTGGCTTGTTTGACTTAGAGAACCGCAAAAACTAATGTTTGGCTAATGGCTCTTTCACTTGGCTTTTTGATTCGAAAGGCCAAAATCCGAAAAGCCAAGGGGAGTAGCATTTGAACTTGGCTTTTGGAAAATTATTTTTTAAATCATTTTTCTTGAAAGATATTTTTATAATATATGTAAAAAAATAGAAATAAAATTTCAAAAATTAAAATAAATAAATAAATTTTAAATTTTAAATTTTCAAAAAAAGATATGAGAAAATCAAAAGTAAAAATCATTAAAAGGTTATATATTAATAATTTCTTATGAATTATATGAAAATGAAATTTTATACTCCACATACTAACGATTTAATTTTCACATGTACAAGAATAAAAAATATTGTGTATGAGTGTTTATATATATATATATATATATATATATATATATATATAGACACACACACACCAAACATTTTTAAAGATCAGCCAACTCATTCCTCATCCCGTTGGTCAAACCAGATAAATTTAACGACTATTTAGAACAGCCGATACAAACAACCAACAACCAACAGCCAACATCCAAACAGGGCCAATAAGACACTTAAATCGAATAATATTAAAAGATTGAATTTAATTAATTACTTAGTTCAACTCGATCAATTATTTATATATCCATTACTTTTCTCTAAATTTATGATGTGAGACACTTTAACACTCTCCTTCAAATGGGCAACCACTTCATTTGATCTAACTAGTTGACCATTTGGAAATGGATTCCTCCACCAGAGAGAATAATATAATTGAATGTGTCATCAACACTTAAAGGACCACGAAATGATGAATATGAACATCTAAACGAACCATCATGTTATATAGGCTACATGCCGTTTTCCATACGAACAACTAGACTAATTAAAGACTAATGGTTATGGGCCGCTAGGAATGAACTCCGAGACGGATACTTTGACAAATGAGGTGGGCTGACACTGACTTCGATACATTGATGGAATTTAGGGTGGGTAAGAGCTACTAGATTGGGATATAAGACACTTGGTTGAACCACATTAAAAAAATGAATCAAATTTATTACTTAATTTAACTCAATAACTTATATACTCCGTATAAATTATTTTTTCTTCAATTTCCGACGTGGGATACTTAAGCATATACTCATTCTATTTTTTAAATAAAGTTCCTTTTTCTTTTTTCTTCAAAACACTTTCACTTTTGAAACATATGGCTAGTTTATTCAAATTAAAGTCATTGCACTATGCAAAATTTATTTTACATTGAAATAATAAGTTATTTTAATATTTATCTCTCTTATTTATTCCATGCTAAGAATATAATTGAAAAATCAAATTACAAAATTAAATCACACAAAAACTAAAACATGAACAATTTTTGCAACGGATGGAAAAGTATGAAATAAGAACTACCATTACCATGTACGTACTTCAAATTGTCTCAAATTGATAGTTTTCATTTTCTTTTTGAAGCGTTCCAAATAATAGTCATATTCACTTTTGAAAATATATTCGTGTCACATACTTCCTCCATCTCCCAGTTTTTGTCCACTTTTGACTTTTGGAACTGTTTATCTAAGGACTTTGACTCATCATATTCTCTCAATTTGTAAGCTCAAATATAGTCATGTGTGATCTTATTTGATTTGTCTTAACATGTCGATTATATATACTCCCTCCGTTTTCAAAAACACTTCCTCTTTTATTTTTTTTCACTTCCAACAAAACACTTCCCCTTTCTATTAAAAAACCACTTTTACCCTTACTTTTTCATACCCTACCTATCACATCATACTTTTTCTCTAATAATTTATCCATCACATCTTACTTTTACCCATCACATCAGGGGCAAAATTGGAAATCAACTACTCCGTATAATTTAACACTTTCTTATTTTTGCCCCCAAATCAAATGGGAAGGGTTTTTCCAAACGAAGGGAGTAATTTCTATAATTTTTTAATATACAAATTACAAGATAAAATGGATTAAAGAAGTACATTGAATGGTGTGTAAAAATGAAAGTAGGCAAATACTCTGAGACGGAGGAAGTATTTTTTTTATTATTTATGTAATTTTTAATCATAGAATTTCACTTTTTTTAAAGAAGATATCAAACCAAATGTGGGCTATTGAAGGACTATATATATATGCCATATATACCATCAACTCTAATCCACCCAACCCATAATCTAAGAAGTGAATAATGAGTTTGAGAAGCATGGTAGTGATCTTGATGGTTTCCACCATACTGATCCTCATATCCACACCCTTTGGGATTAGTTCTCAAACGGGCGGCGAAAATTCATTATGGAAGCTTCCCCTTCCACAGGCTTATGGACCCGAAGACATAGCATTTGATCCAAAATCTGAAGGGCCCTATACCGGCGTTGTAGATGGTAGAATTCTTAAATATGTCAATGGCGCATTTGTGGAATTTGCCACCACTTCACCTCTTAGGTACTCTCTCTTTCCTATAATAATGTTTTATATTCATTTTTTTAATATTTAGAAAATATGTTATGCTTTTTTTATTTTGAAAAGATTTTTAGTGCGTAAGTCGTTTAAGAAATCACTCTAAACAGAAGTAAAACATAGATAAAATATTAAAATAGGATTTCCATGTTTTTAATTCCAAATTAGAAGTTTGCATTATGGTAATTATGTGACACTGTATATAAAATTTCACATTATTTTTTGATAATACATATGATCATGATTGACATTGTAAATGTATTTTAATTCTTATTTCATGAATAAAAACATAAAGTAGTTATTTTTGTATATTTTCAATATCTACTCCTACTTTAGTATTTTGGTATATTTATCTAGTTTAAAATTTTTCAAGTCAAACTGGACAAATTTTAATCATCAGTTACTCTTAGTTTGTGTTACATATTGCAATTTTTTTGAGTGATACATATTGCAATTGATACAATAATTTAAATATTTAACAGTTCTCAACAAGATAATCTCTTGAAATAATTTTTATACTAAAATATATTAATATTTTTATTTAATTGAGGTCCAAACTTCGTTCAGTTTGACTTGAAAAAGTCAAATTCGACGAATACATTGAGACGGAAGTAGTATCACTTTTAACTAAATAATTTTACTTTTAAAAATTATTTTGAGTATAATTCAATTGAGTTGCATTAAGTTCCAATTAGTTTAGATCCATTTCTATACTTTTCAGTTAAAATCATTTTTTTCTACCCAAAGATTATGTTCTGAGTTTGACTTGATGCCTTTTAATTAAGTTGGAAAATATTGTGTAAGGAGATTATTTATTTACTCCGTATTGTTTTTATTTAGGACAAAAGAAGAATGTGAGGTAAAAGGTGATCCAAAGTTTCGAAGCGCGTGTGGAAGGCCCACGGGCCTCAACTTTGACCAACGGACTGGGGAGCTCTATATCTGCGACGTTTTCTATGGGCTTTTAAAGGTCGGCCCAAATGGTGGGCTGGCCACTCAGATAGTGGCCGGCGTCAATGGTCAAAACTTCAGCTTTCTGAACGCGGTGGAGATAGAGGAGTCAACGGGGAATTTGTATTTCATTGATTCCGGCGCCATATTCCGCACGGTGTATGTTCCTTTTTACTAGTGCTGGTCTCTCATATTTGTCTTTTGATAAATGCAATACCATTACTATAGATATAAGGGTAGTTCTCTATGCAAGTATAGTTTTTAGAACCGGACCGGTGACCGAACCGATCAAGGTATTGGTTCACCAGATTTCGAACTCAGGATCTTTCTCTTGTAACATTCCTATACCACCCGCTGAACTATGCCTTACTGGCAACTTGGAGTATTTTAGGATGGCATGAAGAGAGCATTTACTCATTCCATCCCACCTTTTTCTTAATAGAAGGGTTCATAATTTTAAGTGATAGTCCCTCCATCCTAAAATCTCTTTTCCATTTATACTTTGATGGAGTTTAAGGGAAGGATATGAAATTTTTTTACTTTCCTATATTACACTTGATGTGATTGGTAGATTAATAGTGAATAAATATGATGTGATAGGTAGAATAAAAATTAATAGGAGTAAAAGTGGCTTTTTCATAGAAACTAGACAATTTTTTGGGCGGAAGGAAAATGAAAGGGAAAATCTTTTAGGGATAGAGAAAATAATTTTTATTTTATTTATAATCAAATATGTATAAAATTTAGAAATATAATTTATGTATTTAAAAGTTAAGAATATGTTAAAGGATCTACAAAAAAATGTCATATTTATATTATCTTATCAAATGATAAATTAGAAATGTATAAAAAAAGAAGAAATAATTTGACAATATGGATAGTATCGTGGTACAGTGGGATTGCTTGGGGCCTTGGGGGTTTATTGAATGAGCCATGTTAGGAGTACACCAAAGGTATACCCCAATTGTCCCTCACCCCTTTCTCTACCACTTATTTTAACCCCATTTTTATTTATTTAATTTTGTTTTATTTTCTTACCCATTTTTATGGTAATGGAGGAAGTGGGGGACAAATGGAGTACACCAAAGGTGTACCCCTAGCATTTTTCTTATTGAATATATGGTAGCTTAAAGTGTTAAAAAAATAGAGTTGTCTCCTTTTTGGGACAAATATGGGGCAAATTTTACATACGGGGTACCTAAATATTGAGTGATATACTCCGTATCATTTTGATTCATAAACTTTACTTCTTCTTGCAAAAGTACATAAACTTTGAAGAAGTTTTGCAAAAGTAGATATGAGTATCACTTGCATATATTGAAGGGTGAAGCCCTACCTATCAGCTTAAGCTTTTGGGTTAGAATTGTGGATCCCGACTTTATATGCAAGTGGTTAATTTTATCCAACACTCTATCCGTTGTTCTCGGCCCGCCGGAATTTTAACATGGTATCAGAGCAGGTCCGGTCCGGGTTTGATTGTTCCTAGTTGTTTGGATGTGGGTTTAGCAAAAAAAATGAGCTACCCCGTCTGTGGTTTGGGCTGAGTTGGCTAAAAAGAGATTGAGATGCCACCGCCCGTTGTGTGGGCTAGCTATAAGAGATTGAGATGCTAGACCCGTTTGTCCAAGTGCTAACTAGGCCAGGCTAGTTACCACTTGCGGGGGAGTGTTGGAGTTCCCACATCGGAAAATAAAGATGAGTATCACTTGCATATATTGAAGGGTGAAACCCTACCTATCAGCTTAAGCTTTTGGGTTAGAATTGTGGATCCCGACTTTATATGCAAGTGGTTAATTTTATCCAACACTCTATCCGTTGTTCTCGGCCCGTCGAAATTTTAACAGTCACTTTGGGCGTAATTATAATTCTATATAATAAAGGGTCAAATTTAAAAATTTGAAATATGTAAAATTTTAGTTAGGCACAAAGTGAACGTGATAATAATCTTATAATCTAGAAACTGTCCTTTAGTGCATGCTTTTGTGAAAATTTTTTCAAAATTCAAGTTTTTTAGAGAAAATAAAATTTAGGTACCAAAATGATATATCGCTCAAGTTCATGTACCATCAATGAATGTTACCCCAGTTGTTGATTAAAGATTATTGATTCATAATTGACAGCTCATCATAGACTAAGTCCTTATTGGTTATTTTCATTATTCCTATTCTTTTGGTATTACTGTTAGTGGAATAAGTCATGGTTAGTGGAGAGGATTTTTAGGATCTCTAATTTGTTGAAGTTTATCTCCGTTTGTTTTTATGTTTAAGAGCTCTATAAATAGCTCTACAGATCAGTGAATAAATATTAGTTCTTCTTCTCAGTTCTATATCTACTTTGAAGTCTTTGTTTTTTTTTCTCTGCATTCCAGTTCCAACATTAGTGGTATCAGAGCCTAGTTGGTTCCTTTCCGATGGCCAGCAACGGGAGTTCGATGGGTGCTTCACAGCCTCTCATACCAATCTTTAAGGGAGAAGGCTACGAATACTGGAGTATTCGGATGAAGACTCTACTAAAGTCTCAGGATCTGTGGGACTTTGTAGAACTGGGATACGCAGATCCCGATGAGGCGAACAAATTGCGGGAGAACAAGAAGAAAGATTCGAAGGCGTTGGCGATCATCCAGCAAGCAGTCCACGACAACGTCTTCTCCCGAATTGCAACGACAACCAACTCAAAGCAAGCATGGTCAACCTTGGAGAAAGAATTCAAAGGAGACTCGAAAGTCATCGTTGTGAGATTGCAATCACTTCG